ATGGTACCGGCTCCAACAAGAGTAACAAGTTGGTTCCTGCCATTTAAACCATTTCAAACACTTCTTTGGTGTGGAATTCTAGCTTGTTTATTAATAGAAACAATTGGATTACTAATGACTTACCATTTCGGGAATTCTGTGGAGAATACAAAGAAGTCATGGACTAAAAGTTTTCATTTTGGTTTAGTAACGACTCTGAAATTATTTGTGTCACAAAGTTCCGGTAAAACTCTAAGCGCTACATCCGTGCGAGTAATACTATTTTCCTGTTATGTGATCGATATTATTATCACTAGCATCTACGGTGGAGGTCTAGCGTCTATCTTAACACTGCCAACGTAAGTATAATAATGTACTCAAGTACTAAATGCAATATATTTAGAAGTTAATTTATTTAGTTAATAAGATGATTATTTTATTTCACATGCTAATATATATATAGAAATATCTATTCAATAAAAAAATTAGTTATTTATATTATCAGGCAGAAGTTTTATCTAACACTTTCTTGTCGACAGAGAGATATAGGAAATTTGGTTAATATTATGAGAAAGAAAAGAAATAATAAATCTGCCATTACAATTGAATTTAATAATACTATATACACTAATGATGTAATATCATTGTAGACTTGGTGAAGCTGCTGATTCTGTGAAACGTTTATATGAACACGGACTGGTATGGAGCGGTACATCTGATGACTGGACTTTTCCTTTAAGAACAGTAACTGATGTAAGCTGATTTATTCAAAAACCTATAATATTTAGAAAGAAAGAAATTAAAAAATGCAATATTTGTTACAATTAGCCAATTTCGCAAGGTCTCTTACATAAATATAAGTCGTATAGCTTTGAAGAAATGAAAATTAAAGCCAAAACAGAAAATATGGGTTTCATCTTGGAACGCTTGGAATTTGGTAAGAAAAGTTTATTTCAAATTTTTTTAGAAATAATAAATGTTAAAATAATTATATAAAAATTATTTATTCACTTTTAGGTCACTTCGCTAATGGATACTACATTACTAAAGAGGCCTTAGATCGTCTAAAAATTATGCACGATGATATTTACTATGAATACACAACTTTTATAGTACGACGCTTGTGGCCTTTTTTGAGTAAGTTTAATAATCTTATTTCTACCTGGCGTTCAGCTGGTTTTGCCAAGTTTTGGGAGTGGAAGGCCTCAGCAACTTATCTTAATGAAAACGAACAGGAACAAATACAGTCATCAAAGAATCCAACCTTAAAGTTAGGTCCCACTAAACTCGATATGGCAAATTTTGCTGGCATTCTGCTAATATGGATTGTGGGTATATCAATTAGTATTGTTGTGTTTGTTATAGAATACTTTTATGCTAAAGTCTACTATATTTAAGACATTCTGTAATATTACATACCATAGATTGCTTACTTATTTATGTAATTTTCCACACAAAAATAAAACTACAATAAATCGATTTCGGCACATTTTTTTTTTCTTCACGTATTTGTTGGCAACTTTTTAATGTGGTATTTCGCACCGAATTACCGAATTTGATTGAATCGGAATTTCTGTTTTATTGAATCTTGAATCAAATCAATTTCAATGAAAGAAAGTTGGAGAAAGATTTTAACTTTGATTGATGGAATTCAAATTTTTGTGGCACTTTTTATATAATTTCGTCTTCACAGTTCAATATTAAAATCCTGAGAACCAACAAGTGATTGCTCTGAAAATAAGTACCAACAATAACGGCAGCATAAGTCCTCGAGATTAACAATGAATAAAATATTTACAAAATAATTGAATTCACTCATCAAAATAAATACAAGAAAAGTTAAACTAAAGTTTAAAATTAGTTGAATTTAATAAAAAAATTTTTATGCATTTATCGTAGCATTTTAGAATATAAGGCACCACTAATCGCCATAGTTACTATGTGCTAGAAATTGTGCTAAATTTATTTTAAGCAAATACCATTAAAAGAAAATAAATTTATTTCCAGTATTAAAATTTAGTTGAACTTTACTACAAAGGACTCTGGTTAAACTATTCCAATATGCCAATAAAATTAAGAAAATAACTGCTTTGCATGGGGACAAGAGAACAACTTTTCATCGCAAGATATTTGAACCCATTGAATATCTATCAATTCATTTGTGAAAAGATAGTGTAAGAACACCAATTGAATGAATGTGTGATAAGTTTTTGACAATCAAAGTGTTGACAGTGATAAATTTTTCCCAAAATGCGCAACAAACCAATGTGCCTTTCCGTTCCGATGGAAATTACTTTCTCGAATAACTTTTTCCTATCTTAAGATACAAAGTGACATATTTTTAAAGTTTTCATGAAACCACATGGAATTTATGCAATCTATTTTCCAATTTAAATTTGCATTTGATAGAATAATAATCTCCAAAAACTCTTGCTTTCTGTTTTAAGTGAACGAGAGTGTTGAACAGATTTTTGACAAATGCTTAATAAATCAATTCTTTTTATTAAGCAAATATTATCTACAGTAATTGTAATCAATGTAATTTCTTAATTTCTTTAATGCAAAAACCAAAATAATTTGAACCTCGGAATCAATCTCGAAATTCATCGCAAATGTCATTTTTATTTTATAATTCATTTTTATGTGTAGTTCACGCAGTGTTGGCTTTCAGCGACACTGCTTTTCCAAACAAAGCTTTCTCAGTCAATCCAAAAATAGTTCTGTGCTTTCATAAGTAATCAGATAATAATCAGAAAATTATTACAGCACTATCTTAGTAAGATAATTTAATACACCTAAAGACGAATATTTCAAGCACATCATAATAATCAGGTTAGATCAGATCATAGTGACATCATATCAAATCTAGCCAACGAACCGATATGCCGACAACCACTAACTCTTTCATGATTGATGGAACTTCAAAATACAAATGTTGTTTGATAAGGTAGTAGTCTACTATTTATCCTTAATTAGTGCCAAATGCTAAGGAGTGGTTTACATATAGAATCGAATTAGATTTTATATGTGATACCACTGCTTAATACAAGAAATTAACTGTTTTTATTTATAGAATCCGTTTGGGTCTGTTATAAAGTGTGGGATGTTTTTAATCTTAGCCTTTAATATCTTTGTGACACAGCTAAAGATACACCAACAGATGATGATTACTGCCAAGTATGGTTTGAGATAATGATTGACGAGAGTTCAACAATATATTTAATATAAATTTTGATGTTACTAAGAAAATGTGAAATTTTGAGGTGTTTCGGTAGATCGATTGTGCTCACATTATGTTCAAAAGAAAGGTCATCTCAAAAACAATATTGTGTTTCAATATCTCTACCGGATCAGTAAATACGTAATTTTGAAAGACTGGTTTCTGTTCTGGCACACTATGCCACGTCTCAGAAGGGTCGCTGAAAATAAATGAACCAATAACAACAACCGAATATAGTGATTTTAATACAGTTAGTGACTATATTAGCAATATCCAACAGACACTTTAGTAAAAATTGTCTATTTTATTTAAATTTATCAGTGCATCTTCGATAGACTCTCCCGTCTCTATTCCTAATCTTGCAAGTCGCAGACTAGAATTGTTATATGATTACTTTTGAGACTTGCTAACAAGAGTGCCCTAATATTTCCAGCGAGATAAAAAGCGACATATTCCAAATATAATACCTTCGACTTCGTCCGTAGAAACAAGTAGGGCCTTGCTTCTGTAGTCTGTGTATAATATATTTTGTTTATAGGATCCCATGCTATAGTATGCTATAGTCGAAACATTGCCTATAATATTTTTGGCTTGGAATTGCTCAGATACTTGTATTATCAATACGTCTGGCTGATTCTAATATTTCCAACCATCTACCCACAATTACGAAGAATTTTGAGTCAAATGTTATCAGCTAATTTATGCAAACTCAATATTCCTTCCACTTATTTACCTTTCTATCTAAAGCTGTACGTACATTTCCGCACTAATAAATTATACTTCTATCGAGTGCTCTTACGTGAATTCCGATTGCTTCTCTGATATTTTCATATTAATATTGATATATCTTTAATTCTGTGAGGATATGTTTGTAAATATTTCTCTATGGTACGCTAATCCAAATTATGTATGTGATATAGAGTATAACGAAGTGGATATGTATATTGTGATATTTAAGTGACTAACAAGTTCAAGTAATGAAATTTCACAACAAATCAACAAATCTCAGTTAGCTGAGGAATACTAACTCTCCGGTACAAATTTCTGGCAACGTACGAGTTCAACTTTTCGTTTTTGAAATTTCAAAAAATTATTTATAGGTATTTAAATATAAGAAATAGTTCCAAGACCATTTATAATGAGTGGCAATCCTCGAAATAGCTGTATGGTCAGTCAAAATTTTAATTAATTAAAAATAATATAAATAAATTTTTGTTGTTGCAATTTCACTACTATTTTTATAAAACGATAATTAAAAAAACATATTATTGAAGACAATATTTTTTATATTAAGTATTCGGTTTCTTTCGTCAAAATCGACTTTTAAAATCAATTTAATAACTACTTGAGTAAAATTTACTTAAATTAGACATTTTTTTTGTAATTTATGAAACTTTTTCTATATCCCAAAATTGATGCATTCTCATTATATGACTGAATTATTTAAGCAACATTTTCTTACAAAATCAAAATAATTTGAACTTCAAGTACCTAAGCAAACAATTTAGGAAATCGTGTCCTTAACCTCTTTTTTTAGGGAAGTTCTTATGATGTAGATACACTTTTCGGCAACAATGCACTCCGCATTAAAATGATGCTACTAAAAATAATAAAAAATATTGGTTTCACTCTAAATTATTCAATTATTCAATTTTATTTCTTTCCTTAATTGCATATAAAATAACAATTATTTCGATATAATTAAACAAAAATTTTCATTTTTTTATTTCAAAAGTTTTATTTTTGGATATTATTTCCATATTATTATGTATTTAATTTAAATTATAGTTATAATTTAACAAAACTACAAAATGCAATTTAATTTTTAATGAGACGTTTTCAGTTTCTCATATTGCAAACGTACGAGTCCTCATTTTCATCATTCAAGGTAAAAACATCATCCCATTATCTATTCTGGAATAACACAAATATTCTAGTGATTTTCGTATTAAAAAAAACATTTGAAATAGTTTCGAATTTCTAATTAAACGAGAAATTTTCGAAAAATAAATATGAGATTCAAATATTGTAAAATGAAATTTTATTTTATTTCACAAATCCAAAATTTTTTAATTTGCTTTTAATTAATTAAATCTACCAAATGCAGGGATGGAAATAAAATTTAATAAATACTTTCTGTATATATTTTATTTTTTTCATGCTTTATTTGATTTATTACTCATATTTCCGCATTTAATAAATGTTTATTGCTTGTAATTATTCTGTTATTGGTTACCAACGCTCTTCATCAACAATAATTTTTGCCTCTTTATTAACTGAAGTCTTTTATGGAAGTATCAAACGTATATAAATAAAATCCCAACTAATTGAGTAGGATTTCAGAAAAGAATTTTATAAAGTACATAACAAATAAAAAGTAAAAAAAATTCGTTATTTATTTTTATTTTTATAACAATACAAACGCTTAACTTTTTTCAGAGCTCAAGTATAAAATTTTTACGAAAAATATTCCATACTGACCCAACGGAAATTAAATAGACTCAGAGAAGATATTTCGTATAGTACTGGGTTCATCAGTAAATTTATAGTAGAACTTTCGCATAATTTTAATAAATCAATTTTCTTAAGAATATCACCCACACTTCATTTAGAATTCTTTATTTATAAAATATTTGAATTAAAAGTTTTGAAAATGGAAAACAATAATATGAAAATGCTATATTCCTTATTAAAGAAAAGAAACACCTCCTACTTTTGGCGCTGTTAACTAATTCTATAGCTTTCTAAAAGAGATAAAATGATTTTTGTAATATAAGTCTCCACTGTAATCCTAGCATTTGTGCATCGTTATGATTCTGAATTAAAACAAACAGCTATAGACGCCTTAAACCTAGCTCTTCGCCTATAAAGTCATCTTATGACCAAAAGGTGTTAGCTTCAGTGTTAGCAAAAAAATATTATCTTGTTCGATTACCTTTAAACTAAAAAAAATAAATATATAGAATATTAAAACAATCTTTTGGAACTAATTAGATTCAAAAATTGGGAAAAAACATTTGTTCTAGCATATTCATCGGATTTAGGTTTCTCTGATTTCTGCTCTTCTTATATATTAGAAAAGTCTTTGATAAGAAATAATCAAACTTATAAATAAAAGAAGTCATAGAGCAGTATTTTGCAGATCTTTTGAAAAACTAATACAGAGATCATTTTGGG